TTTCCACCAGATTACGAGCCTTCTTCTTCTTCAAGAGAAGCATCTTTTGTTTCTTATACTTCTTCAGATATTCTTTGATAGGCCGGCGAAGGGACCGGATATAAGCAGCAGCTTGATCAAGAGCTAAAGGCAGTCCACCAAGCTCTTTAACCAGCTCGCGGAAATCACTGTCTTCTCCGACTGTTCCACTTCTTGATTTTAAAAATTGAACTCCCTCCTTCTCTGTGAAGCATTTCAACTCAATACAAGAGCTTTCTTCGATTCCTGTTTCTTCTCCGATTTCCGTTGCTTCTCTTCTTGTAGTTATGATGATATGACCACGGGCGGCTTGTTTCCAGTGACCAGTAAGCAACTTCTGCATATCCATGGACATTTCTAACTCATCCAGATTGTCAACCACTAGACACCACAGCTGTTCACGCTTTCTCAACCAGTCCAAGGTTCTTGACAGCGAATTGGAGAAGTCTTTGTCATCAAAAGTTCCAACTTGACGTGCCATCTCGCTGACAGACAGCTGGAAAAGGTTGTTGTTTTCGCCCGAAATCCAGAAAATACCACCGGGATATTCCTACTTGTCTTTCTGTCGCCAGAGATACTCGACCGCAAGAGCTGTTTTTCCTACACCTCCAAGACCGCAAATAGCTGATTCTGAACAACCTCGCACAATATTTTTCAATAGCGCAGCGATTGTTTGTAGCTCACCTTTGCGACCACAAAAGCAATGATTGCGACTTGGCAGATGCAAAATTTCAGCATTGACAGTGGCAATGGCACTACCTTCTTCTAACTTTTTCAGCCGAGAATCTAACTGAGTTTGTCCAAACTCTAAAGCCTCCACCTTTGAGGTAAGTGCACCCTGTCCTTCTTTTAAAGAGGTTGCAGCTGATTCTAGCTCATTATGCCTTTCTTCTAACAAGGAGATGTTTCGTTTATTTGTATCTTGGTGTCCCTGTATTATAGTTATGTTGTTAGAAATATCTTCAATTGCTGATGAGAATTCTTTGTTCTTGTCTGTTTGCGCCTGATGCTCTTCTGTCAGTCGCCTTTCTATGCCCGCTATACGTTTATCAAACTTGGTTATTTCATCTGTGGCGTCTTGAAGAGCTTCTCCTATCCTCTTGGCTTCATCAGCATTGGATTTCTTAATGGCCTCTAAGTTTTGTGCTAAGTTGGTTACCTCAATGCTGACAAA